GAGCGTCCATGTGTCAGAAGAAGTCAGATGTGACACATGCGAATCTGATAGCTATGTTCTTGATATGAAGTGGTCATTTTGGTGGATCTTAGTACTCTGCAGGGCAAAGTTTGAACTCTTCCTCCAGTTTAAGTGCTCTTCTGTTGAAGACTTCAAACTTTGCTCAGTAGAGTGGTGGGGATGGGTTAGGATTCATCCCTTCATGTGGGTATAATCAGCAATGTGTCTCATAGCACCTTAGCCCTGTTGGCTAAATTAAATCGTTTCTATGTTCAAAACCACGATGGTTTATAATACCCCTGGAATGTTCATTCCCCTCTTTCTTTTGTGTTTGCACTAGGCCGGTATTTTGATGAAATCAGCCAGGACACGGGGAAGTACTGTTTTGGTGTTGAAGATACTCTAAAAGCCTTAGAAATGGGAGCAGTAGAGATCCTGATAGTTTATGAGAATCTGGATATAATGAGATACGTTCTCCATTGCCAAGGCACAGAAGGTATGGGATTTTAACAATGGCATATCTGCTTAGAATGATGCAGGTTACATTCTAAAGCACTTTTGATCTTGGGCATTCTCTCCTGCTGACGTGGATCATTTGAAATCATGCACACAATCACGGGGGGGCACCTTTAAACATCCTGACAAACATGGATTTTGAAAGTCCGTGTCTAAAGCACACGTCACGGTTATTATACGCACGTAAATATACTTGTTTTGCCCTTGCAATCCATGTTCAGAAAACCCCTCAAGACAGGTGGTCAGCCACCGAGTGGTATTTGAATGTGCTTGTATTTGATGCTTATAAATGTGAGCGAGCAGCCCTGGCTTTAGAGGTAAGAAAAGGCTTTCAGGGCTGACACCAGGAGTCAGCCTAGCTGGGCAGCTGCCCGGGTCCACCTCCTGACTCTCGACTGTCCCATCCTGTCCCATCAGGAATGGGTGTAATCCTTCCTTTGCTGCTGGGAGTGTGGACCGCAGAGCAGGTGGATTGTGGCTGTTTTGCTTCTCTAAGCGCTGACGGGCTTTCTAAGAGCACGGAGAAAGTGTTTCCTCTCCCAGTAGCTGGAGGCAGATCAGAATAACTCCTTTGCACTCGCTGTAGCCCTGGCAGGCATCAACAAGGCTCAGAAGACTGAATTAGTTGCATTCCCCTCCCTTCAGCTACTGGGAGGCAGCACTCTGGCAGGGGCACTGTTCCATTTCCTTTGGGGAAAAGCACCTGGGAAGGCAGGCAGCAGAGCATGGCTCTTTTGGTCTTGAGCAAGTGCTGTACCAGTCAGGCTTGTAAAAGCACAAGTGTTGTTGCTCTCTGACTTCTGGGAACGGCACCTGTCCCACCAGTGGAGTGTGGCATGATTGAACCTCTAAGCCCCATTGGCGTTGGCAGAGCTAGAAGAAGCTGCTCTCTCCTTTCTGCTAGAGGGGAAGTGTTTGACTGGGGTGGGCAGAGAGGAGGTGGTCCACTGGAGGGCATCTGGCCCAGGGCTTCCCAAAACCTGTGAACTTTAGTCTAACTCTGTAGGCAGTTGTGGCCCTGTACTTGGTGTCTTAAAATCTCCTGGGTGAGTAGTCTTGAAAGATGTGACCTTCACCACATTCTTCTACCTGTGCTGAAATCTGGAATGGCTAGTAAAACAGTAAATCACCGTGTACAATTAAACAATATTTGTTGGTTTTTATATGCAATGTTTAGAATTCAATTATTAACAAAATTACAACTATAACACTACAATATGCAATATAAAATTTAGCAGTACATACAGAGTAATACAGTACTAGTTACAGACAAACGACGGAGTTCTAGTACACTATCCATTTGCGTGTCCTTCTTCAGGTTTGTCATTCTGTAATTACTTCTTCATTAGAATGAAGTGCTGCAAGCCATATTTCAAAATGCTAATTCTTATACAATTTTTTGATGTACGCTACCGCGCTTAGATTCTGGTGACTGGGGAGCTCCTATAGCAAGCTCTAATGTGACTGGGTCTACAGCATATAATAATTGGCTAAGCTTCCCTCACCACCATCTCTCTAGCCGTCTCAGCTCTCGCTTCATAAGCCTCAGCTCCTGGGTGTACCAAAGAGCCAGCCTAGAGCGGGAGCGCAGAGGGCGCCGGGGAGCAATCTTGTCGATGGCTGTAGAGAGTCGCCTATGCCAGTCCTCCACAACAAGCTCCACAAGCTCATCCAACGAGTCACCAGGGGGCCTCGGGTCCTGCAGCGCCATTTGAAGCAGCACTCCACTCTTTCTAAAATCAGTACTAGATTGTTCCCTGCAGTGACAGCTTCTCTTCTCCGTAGGCAGCTCAGGGGAGAGCAGCTGCTGCCCCGGGGCAGATCAGGATGAGCGAGGTTGTTGCAGAGGCTTCCCTTTCGGGAGCACGGGGCACACGATCTCCCTGGGTGATGACCACTGCGTAGCAGCACTCCACTCTTTCTAAAATCAGTACTAGATTGTTCCCTGCAGTGACAGCTTCTCTTCTCCGTAGGCAGCTCAGGGGAGAGCAGCTGCTGCCCCGGCGCAGATCAGGATGAGCGAGGTGGTTGCAGAGGCTTCCCTTTCGGGAGCATGGGGGACACGATCTCTCTGGGTGATGACCATCTCTTGGCCTAACCTTCCTCACAGGAAAAACTGGGACAGTCCCCATGTATGCTGCCTTATGCTCCTAGGAGGGAGGCCAGGGTATGGACGTTAATGCGCCATTCTGAAAACCTCTCCGGCCATCTTCTACACTAGCCAGTGGTGGAAAAAGAACCTCTGAAATCCAAAATAGGCAAGGGGTAATGACACAGCCTGTGCTGCTGACACAGCCGGCTTGTATTTTCTCACACTGCCCAACCTTGCTTGCTTGAGCTATGGTGCACACCTCCTCACCAAAAAAAAGAGAGTTTCTGGTCCCCCTGTGTTAATCACATCTGGCTTTTGCGCACGTTCGGAATTTTGTGCTGCTTAATCTGCTTTGCAAAGTTTTGCTGAATCTCTCTCTTCCACCCCGCCAGAGGAGAAGATACTCTATTTGACACCGGAACAAGAAAAAGATAAATCCCACTTCACAGATAAAGAGGTATTTTTTTCAAACGCTACATCTCCTACACTAGCTGTGGGGCACACTGGCTGCTTGGGGGGTTTAATGAATGAGTGTCTGCCTAACTTACTGTACAGCTTCTCTGTGATCAGACAGTATTTGTGATACACATATGAGGTAATGGCTGTGGAAAGCTTAACTGGCGGCCCAGCCCCCTTTATTCTCCTGGTGGTCTATAGATGCCTGTATCTGCCGAATGATGCTTACATGGAAGTTTCGGTTCTGTTCCTCTTGATGCAGGAGGAGTCGGCAACTGCAGCTTCCGTTCTCTGCTCGCTTCCAAAAGCACCTGGAGCCATAAGACCCTTTCCGCTGGCAGCAAGGGGAAGGGGAGCCCTTGTTGCTGATTCCTCCCAGGCAGACAAGTGAAAGAGTTTAAAAACAACTTCGGAAGAGTTGCTTAGTGGAGAAATGGCCAGCAGAGAGAAGCCCTGACCAGCTTCTCTGGTGCTCCTTTCATTGCTGTGCTTATCTCCCCCGGGAAGTCCGGTGGTCCCAGGCGTACCCATTATGTTGAGAGTTCCTCATTCCGACATCGCTCACACTAGTGGGTGTGGACCAAGTCACTTTTGACACGCCAGGTTTGCAAGTTGCCAGGAGAAAGAGGGAAAGCGCTCTAAGCTCTGTTCTGTAATGGAAAAGAGTAGCTGGCAAACCATTAAAGGACACACCTAGAATCATGTCATCTGTATAGCAGGGGAGAAACATGAAAGGAAAGTGAGCCTGGGTTCTTAAAGGTGAGACTTTGGGGACTTCTCCTCTTTGAATACTTAATGTTCTTGAACGGCATGAAAGAGAATCCTAATAAAAGGCTAATGATGGAGTGAGTGCACAGTGGGCTTGCCAGGGCAGATTGTACCTTCATCTTCATGATCTTCCTGGTTTTTTGTGTAAATTGTATTCAGCAGTAATGAGGTGTGCATATGTGAAAAAGGCGATCACTGTGACCACTTCTCAGTCACATGGCTGTACTTTTTTCTATCGGCATCAGGTCTTTCTGTACTTGGCAAAGAGTTGGCATAGCAACTGGCAGTTTGTGTTACAGAAAGCCGCATTGCTTACGCATTTGTTTTCAATTTCCATCTTGTGTAGACCGGACAAGAACACGAACTGATAGAAAGCATGCCCCTCCTCGAGTGGTTCGCAAACAACTACAAGAAATTTGGAGCCACATTGGAAATCGTGACAGACAAGTCACAGGAAGGATCCCAGTTTGTGAAAGGATTTGGTGGAATTGGAGGTAAAACGGAGGAAGTGGTATATATTAATTGCAGTTTTTCGCTTTTTATTGGTATGGTATCAGTCAGTGGGACACTAATTGCGTAGCCGCAGCCTCAGTCTGGAACAGGCTGCACTTCTCTTTTTTCCAAAGTAGACCACTTGAACTGAGAAACATTCTTATTTGTGGAATACTTAAGTTGGACAAATGTCTTTATTGAAGCGGCACGTGTTAAATGCCTACAAGTTGCTTCCAACTTACGGTTAATTAATGTCCTCCAGAACATCCTATCATTAACAATTTTGTTCAGGTCTTGCAAACTGAGGGCCAGGGCTTCCTTTATGGCTGATCAGGCCTGCAGGCCCTATTCCAACCTGCCCTCTAGGATTTTGCCAACACCTGGAGAGGCTTTTCTCCCACATTCGGCTAGCCCACCACCACCATCTCCTGACCTTTGTACTGAATTGCCCACTGGGAGGGTCAGGACTCCCAACTTCCCTTCCAAGTTCTGAGATCTTGCCTCTGTGTCTCCCGCTGCACAAGGGTCACTTGTGCCCCCCTGGAGGAATAGCCACTTGCCAGCTGCCTACCTTCCTCCGGGGCTCTTTTTAGAATAGCACATCCAAGACAATGGAGATCTGTGGTACAGAGAACCACTACCAGCATCAACAGTTACAAAGTATATATTAAGAGGAGAATGGTTACAAGCATACTTTTAGCACAGCACCAGATTGGGCAAGGGGTGCAAAAGAAATGGGTAAAAACGCAATCCTCTGTCCCTCTGTCTATGCATGCCCTGTCAGATGTTAAAGTATGACAGGCTGTCTGGCGGTCGGCTGGATGAGGCAGATAGTGGAAGATGGAGTATCAGATAGAAGTAGGACAGACTACTGTAGCTTAGGCAGTTATCAGATCTCTACAGTGTTTCATTACCTTAAACCTTGCTCCAGCTCTTTAGGCAAGCACATGGTCAATGGTTGCCTTCCCTGTGGAGTACTCTGCGTGCTCTCATGGACTCAGTGTCCCATGAAAAGAGACCTCCTTCCTGCTGAAAGGAATTTTTACCATATGTGTTTCTCTACTCACTGACCTGGTCCCACCAGGTCAAAGAGGCTTTTCTTGGAGATCCCCAATAATTTCCTTCCTGAAGAATCCCTAGTGTTGCTTCCCTCAAAATCTCTGTTCCCTGCTTTGGTAAAGGGGAAGATCTTGACCCAGCCATTATCTCTCCTGCTAGTTCCATCAATATTTGTATGGAGGTGGGCTGAGGCACGTCTGGAAAGCAATTGTACTGAACCCCCCCCCATCCCCGCGCCTGTTCTCTGGCCAGAGAGAGAAGAAACTTTTAAAATGCACAGTGGAGGTTTTGCTTATTTCAAATCTCCCAGGAAAAAAATGCATTTCTTCACAGGAGTCAATCCATCTCATGATGGGTCTTCCTCCTTTCCTGCTGTCTTCAACTTTTCCTAGCATCATTGTTTTTTACAGTGACTCTTGTTTTCTCATAATGTGACCAAAGTATGATAGCCCTCAGTTTAGTCATTTTAGCTTCTAGGGAGAGTTCAGGCTTAATTTGAGGCCAAAAAAGTCTCCAAGGACTAGAAATTTCTTTTCCCAATAATCAGTTTACTGGAAGCAATTCAAACGCCATCAACACCAACTAACCATGCATATTATATCTCGTTTTCGTATAACTTTATCAAAGTGGGAAGCGTTGAAATACCTATATAATATTACTCCATTTGGCAATGGATTTGATGAGTGTTACTGTGGGATATGAACAGAGTGTTTGGCAAATGGATTAATATTATATAGGAATTTCAACGCTACCCTCTTTGATAAAGTTATACAAAAACAAGATATAATATGCATGGTTAGTTGGTGTTGGCATTTGAATTGCTTCCAGTAAACTGAATATTGGAAAAAGAAATTTCTAGTCCTTGGAGACTTTTTTGGCATAGTACATCACGGTTGTTTGCTTCTTCTCAAGGTCCATATGAGTGGCTTATCTTTTAACTGGAACTTGCTTGGCAACAGGTTGCATTGAAATTACTGAGGTTTCCTTCCAAATAACTAATGGGTGTGGTTAGTGGTGTTAGCCGACAGTGCCTAGATTCTGTATTCTTCCTGTTCCCATTGAAGAAAGTATGTTGTGATGTCAAAGTGTGTCGATACCCTGGACAGCATGGTAAAAGAGGGTGAAGCTTGTCTAGTAGGCAGCCTTCCAGAAAATGCAGGGGAGGGGAAGGCAGAGAACTGGCTGCCATTGTTAAGAACATCCCTACAGCCAAGACAAGGAAGGGGCTTCTACCCGACAGTGCACCCTGGACCAGTGCAGCCCTAGCTGCGGCACACTCTGTCATAGAGTGTAGAGCTGTGCATTCCTTGGAGCATGGAGAGGGCTGGAAAATTTGACTGTGGGGAAAAGAGGGTGCAGTGTATTCTAATAAGTTTCTGTTCTTCCTCTCTCACTAAGGTGTCTCAATGCAATACATTCAGGCAACGCATTTTACAAAATCCAACCAGATTTTTAAAGGGCACACTTAAAAATACAAGGGTAGCTGGCTTTTTTCACGCAAAGGCCAAAAAATGTGAAAGGGCTTCTCCCCTGTTGCACACAGGTGCAATTCTGGTGAGATGTTTCTTAAGGTGGCATCCTCTAATAAATGCACGCCACCTGGTCAGCACGACAGGGGTTTAAACAATGTGTGGGGCCTGCAGTCCGCTTTCAGTTATATCCTTCTCTTCGGGAACTGTTTTCATATCTCAGATTGTCATGGGCTGCTGCCTCTTCCTCCATGGATGGGGTTTCCTTTCTCGTTCACTTGGAACCTGGAAGCGCAGCTTCAGTTGCATTGGATGGCGACCACTTGCTTGCCAGTTCGGGCGAGTTTGGTTGGCCTTGCCACTTGCTGCCTACAGTGGTTCCTACCTTGCAACTTGAAGTAAATTGCCAGTAAAAATGAAAAATGGCGCATCTGCATTAGTCAATCAAAAATACCCAATAGAAGCAGAAAGGAAATTCTCAAGTCCAGCATGAAAACATTGAGAAAGGGGTTTTCCCCCAAGCTCTTTAAATAAGTGCTAATATCTTTCTTTTGGCACGTGTTTCTTCAGGTATCTTGCGGTACCGAGTGGACTTCCAGGGCATGGAATACCAAGGAGGAGACGACGAATTTTTTGACCTCGATGACTACTAGGTAGTCGACCTGGGTCTGGCAAAAAGGTGCCTCACCCCTCCAGCATCCAACCCAAGGAGCAAACTCGCGATGGAAAACAAAACAGATCCCTGCCTTAGAATTGGAGTATTTCCAGGACTCTATCCAGAAACACCGGGTTGAAAACAAAAAACCGAAACCCCTACTGATTTGTCATAGTGTCAGTACAGCAGCAAATCTACTACATTTCTATAATGCCATTTTGGACTAATTTAAAACAAAGAAATCCCAATTTTTACTTTTACTTGATGGTGAAATTGGTTGCTCTCGTATTTTATGAAAATGATTTTTTTAACCTTCATGCTACATTAACTGCTGTAAACCTTCATTTTTTGGGGGGGGGGAGATTAATAGAAAGATTATACTGGTTTGTTTCTTATTTTGATTGGAGACAATTTATGGCTGCATTTTGCAGTGACACGACCCATTTCCATGGCGTTCTTGGCTTAGACTGCAGCAGAAGAATCCGGGGGTGGGGGTGGGGAGAAAGAGATTGTTCCCATTGTTCTCGCTCTGTGATGGTGGAGGGTCTGAGGAACTGAATACCGTGGCATGCCAGCTTGACAGGTGTGACGTGCACATTCAGATGGCCTGGGAAGTCCACCGATGTGGGGTTTTTTTTTTAAAATTCTTACAATCGCGACACCACTGCTTGTTATAAATCCAGAAAGTACGTTTTCATTCACAGCGATTGAAATGCCAGGGTCTCAGCAGGCTTTTGATTGGGGATGTGAGTTGTGCGGCCTTTACTCTTCCCTCTTGTCAGTCAATAAACAGTTTCCACAAGCAAGCCTAACGCTTCTTATGCTTGGTTCTATTCTTGTTATTAGGGTTTGGGTGGTGTCTTTTTTTCCCCTTTAAATACTTTTTTTTTCCCTTTTGCTTCGGGGACTGCATGTCTTGATGGATCGACAAGTTTTTAAAAAATCACCCTGCTTTCAGTGCAAGCAGCTAGCAAATCGTGACTGACTTAATCCTTGGCACAGGTGGCTTTGAAGCATCTGTTTTTAAAAATTGGGTTTTGGGTTTTTTTAGAAGCTTGGCGCCAAAGGTTCGCTTTCAACACTGTGGAATAGCAGACGAAAGGCAGGCAGCTCACCTTCCTTATTATTCCCACCCGGAACTGGCTAGTTTTCTGAAGGATACTCTGATGTTTTAGTGCCTAGCTCTGTTCACCTTTGACTCCAGTCTCTCTCTTTCTCTCTCTCTCTCTCTCTCTCTCTCTCTCTCACACACACACACACACACACACACTCACACACACAGTCTCTCTCTCACTCACACA